TAACCAACAAAGTAGCAGATTAAACGTAGGAATGGAAGCAAGGAGAAAAAACATTATATTCCGAACATTCTTCAGCCAAGCTAGGAGTAATAAAGTAGTTTTAGCCAATGACAAAAGAATCCAGTTCTGGAAGAAACTGAAGAGCAATGTAAAATTATCTCCCAACGAAAAGACTTTTTCATCACAACCTGCATTTAATTCATAAATTACCTTATATTTTTGTGATGAGACGTAATCGCAAAGGTTCGAGTTTTCGAGATGTCGAAAGCATTCCTGATATCTGTCTCGCAAGTGAATCGCCAGTTTTGCGACCACTAGATTGCTACGATGGTCAATGAGACTTTTTTCGAGTAAGCACTCTTGAGCTTGGCCCTGAATATGTGATATGCTCAAAGCGAAATGCAAGAGCAATATGAATCTTGTCCTCTTCTCAAAAAAAATCAGAGAAAAACAGTAAGAGAAACATAGAAAGATACGGGAAGTTACCAGTAGCACGTTGACGAAAAAGGTTAGTAGCTCCTTGTCGAAATCTACGGAAGCATACTTTGAGGCGTTCAATTTATCACGAAGATGTTGGAGGGGCCATGCAGCGTATTGGTAATGCATAAAAGCATTTTTAATACTCTGAAAAATTCTTCAAAAATTTGCGATGATAGAAGAATAGAAGGCAACCGAATGCGTTACTTGAAACAACAACCCCAAATGAGATTGTGTGGAACAATCTATTTTGTGGGTAGGATAGAGAAGCCACGAGTATCACAGTTGTGCCGTTGTCGCGGCTGAGGTGCGCGACAATGGCGCTAGGGCCTTACAAAGTGAGCTGATGACGGCTAATGTGAGCTAATGGACGAGATACCTCGCGCACATCCCATGACACGCAACGTGGATTACGACAAAATGGTAATTTCAAAAACGCGCGGATTTGGAACAAGCAAATTCAAACAACTTGCCCGGACGCGCCCTCCATCCTTACAAGGAGAAAGGGAGGCAGTCTTGTTTATTGACTCCATCGGCGGTATGCTTCGCATCATTTTTTATTTTCGGTCAACTCGGGATTCACAACTTCGTTGTCGACCCACCTATCCCATCTTATCAATTTATCTGGGGTTGTTGTTCAAAAAATGACGATCAGTAAAAACGCATCTGCCTTCTTAGTGAAGGCGGCCCCAAACAACTTACGTCCTCGTTCTCCCTTCCTTCGTTTACGGCTATGCTAGCATGAACTGCGCCAATATTGTACATTACGCAGGCTAATTCGAAACCGATGTCATCGTAGGTGGCAGAATGAGCGATATCCATAGCTCTGTCGTACCTACATGGGTTAAGGATAGTTCATTGCTTTAGTAAATCTCTCGAATGAGAGGGTGCAAATAAGATGCCTAGCATTATCTAACTGCTCAGTACCAGTTTTTTAACGCAAAACTTTGAACTGCATTGTTATCACCCATGTGAATCATGGCATTTTCGGCACAACCCTATGAGCAACTGATAGCTTATGTTAGAACGAAACCATATAAATCTCCGGGAAGAAGGCAAATCATACAACAATCACGGCATACTTACCAGCAGAATAGAACTTTTATTGGATCACCTTCCTCCATAGGAAATCGGTTCTTCATCATTAATAGCTGGGCATAGTATCGTTTTAGCAAACAAGCAGTCTCCACATCGGCGTAAGAACTGCTTATCTTCTGAAATTATAGGTCTAATCTGAACTCACTGAAATACTATCTGTATCAATAGTATTGTCTCGAAAAACGGATCGGTAATGGTGAGTATGTGCCCAGAAGTCAAGGCGCGACGTCGCATCACTGGCGACTTCGAATTTTACGCCGATGTGCCCCGTACTCTGCGCACTTAGATAGGTGTCAGACTCCCCGTTTGCTGTCCGACGGCGCTGTAGCGACAGCAAAGTGCAACCGCGACTGTAGTAGGCACCTAGCGCATATCATACGATCAATAACTTGCCATACTCGCGACTGCACTTTGTAATTACGACAACGTTGTCGTGGTTGTGCAACTGCCGACAGCAAAACGCGAGCTACTAAACCTGTGTTCATGACAGAGCAACTGTTAAGCGGAGATGTTGGGGCCAGGAAAACATAACACGCTGATGTGAGCCACTCGGCCACTATAAGAAGGTTTGAACAAAAATCGTAATCATGGCAACGTACCTGCTTCAAATTCATTATTTCTGATATAGCGTTATCATATTTACTGGGATCATCTTGGAAATGCAGAAGAATATACTGAAAAAAAGCAGAATTATTAGGTCGTTGCAAAAGGAGTGGCGTTTTGGGTTCAAACAAATTGTGTTGAAACAGCACCTTAGATAAGAAGTGGACCTCACCTTATTCTATCAGGCTTCGCCGTTTCGACGCTTCTTTTTTCAAAAAATTGGAGCGATTGTGTGCTGGCAAACACAGACTCCCGGGTCGGATTTTTCTTGCAGTCTCAAGACCATTTTACCCTCACAACTTACTGCGTTCACTCGGATGAGCAGCACCTAGATGGAGTGTAACAGCTCAGCGGAGAAGTCAGATTTCTTCGGTTTCTCTCGCGGTTACAGACTACTTGGATTTCCCTCGATGACCTTGCCGTGAATGGCAAGCGCCCAGATGATAAAATAACGCACCAACCGCAGCTTCTAACGCTGCCAGAGGTGAGCCAAGGGAGAGAAATCCAGGGGTGGCTTGAGACACTCTTTTATGAAGTAAGCTTTGAACGTCCGAGCTTGCTACAGTCGTAAACAAGTTTCAGGCAAGAGGGTACAAACGACAGCAACACATCGACTTCTATAGGGACCAAGCTGAAGTAGTCCTCAGATGAGTCCTACACTTATTTATTAGGTGATTTTTCCATGACAAGCATCTTGACTGACGTGCAACCAGTTTATGTTCGTTAAATTTTGCTTGCAGAGTCAATATGGTATAATGTAGGTGGCTTTTTGTTTAAAGCCTGTGCCGAAACAGTGTGATCTGTGCTCAGCATCTCGAGATGTTGTGGAACACTTGTGCACTCCGGAATTTCCGTTAGTCATCCAAATTCAAGCAAAAAATGACTTCTTCTTCTCCTCCCTAGCGTTAGTCCCGCGCAGTCTCAGGGTCAGCTCACTGGTTCCTTTTCGACTTTAGACATATTTCAAAAAAATCAAGTAATCCGTAAACCGTCAACCTGGGCCTGACGCTGGTACTAGAACCATTTTTGCAATTTTTGCAAGGCATGGTTTAGAGCCTCGGCAGGGATCGAACTCGCGGTTTTTCAGAGGTGCAGACATGAGTCTAACCTCTTAACCACTCGGCTATCCCTGCCTCTCAAGCAAAAAATGACATGGCCAAAGAATCGTCACTTCGCAAATTTCGAAAGTCCCTTTCGGATGAATGCACAAGTACCTCAAGAGATTGAAACGCAGCTTAGTGGGGTAGAAGTGAATCTGTGCCAGTGTCTTATTAGCAACCTCGTATTTAGGACGAGCACCGAAAGCGAGGAGAGAAACAAGTTCCTGCCTTGTAACCCGACCATAAGATATGTGTCCTCGGTCCAATCATACCCTTAACCAGAGCTTAGTGGAAGACATCAATTCAATGCGCAAACAGACAAAACACCGGCATTAAGCGGTGGTCGCATAGCAGCTGATTCCTCAGCGCTCCTTCCAGTCAGTTATCGTTGGAGCGCTATCACCATATTTTGCACTATTATGAGTCAATATCCTCCAATAAAAAGTTCCGGTGAAGTAGAATTTCTTAAGAACCTCTCTCAGCATGCAAAAGACACTACTGAAACATTTTAATCGCGCTTACCTCCTTAATTTTCAATCGGAACTCATCATCGTACTGATTTGCTGGGATCTTTGGCTCAGGAAGCAGCATAGGGACACGAGGCATGCCCTCCATTCTTATGATATGTTTTATACAGTACGAGTGATTCAGAAGCCTGGAATCAGAGGAATCAATGGGAGGTTCACTTTAACCCAAATAAGCAGTAAACAACGAAACACAAATAGGTAACGCGAAAGCTCTACAGACTCCCACAGAATGTGGACACTTACCCTGACCTCGGTAATGTAATAAAAAACAGGAATATTAACTCGAAAAGGCAACATAAAAGGAAAGCAAAAGACCACCGAAAGACCAGAAACTAGCGTGGAACAAAGATGACAAGGG